GACCCTTGACCCTATAACTTTTTCGGGTCACCCTCTGGTCCAGTTTTAACAACATAAGTTTCAACCAATAATGTAACATACGAGTATGATTTACTTGCTTTTCTCTTCAATATATTAGCAGAAATAGAGCTCGTTTGGTATCACTGGAATTAGTCAAATTTGTTGAAATTGATGAAATTCTTTATTTATAAAAAAAGATTTTTTTTGATGAAAATAACTAAAATGGTGTTATACGTTTACTTAAGCCAATTCAGTCAAAAAAGTAAATTCAACTTTACTTATTTTGATTATTGCACAATTCAACATGTGAAATAAAAAAATACGCGTTTGGTACAAAAGGTGGTCAGAAGCTAAAAATAGGGGCTACCTAATGAGATCAGAGACAACACAGTGAATTTAGGCCTTGTTCGGTACCATTTTATTGTTTTTGTTTTTCTGCTTCTTTCAATACCTAAAGGAACAATTTAGAAAACAAGAAAATTTGTTTTTTTTTTTTGTTTTCAAAATTAACATTGTTAGTGTAAGCAATTAATTCCACTTTTGGTCCTACGAGTTTTGTGCCAATTCCGCCTTTAGTCCACGTCTTTCACTTTATCCACTTTTGGTACTGACTAATGTTTTTTAACCGTTTGTGGTCCTTTTCCGGCGATTTTAACCATCGGAAACAATGCCGGAAGAACCATATATGAGCGAAAACACAATAGTCATGTACCAAAAGTGGACAAAGTGAAAAATGTGGACTAAATGTGGAAATCACCTAAAACTCGTAGGACCAAAAGTGGAATTTATTCTAAGTGTAAGTGTGATAATTGAGTTTCACCACTAAGTTGACGATGGATTGCTGTGGCCTGTGGTTCCTCTACGGCTTGGACACCAAAATAAGGAATAGTGAACGGAGAAAGACATGAGAGAAGAAAATAGTAGTAGTTTTTTTAGTTCATTAGACAACATATATCATAATATCATATACGGAGTACTACGTGCCATTTATATCACTCAACAAAAAGTTTAGAACAGACACCGTAATGAATGGGCTCTAAAATTAGGGTTTTTATAAAAAAAGATGAATGATGAGTACAGAAGTCAATAAACGAAATTCATGGCAGCAAGAAGCATGGAAAATCTCGATAAGGAGTGTACTTACAATTCGTAAACTCTACCGAAAATCTTCAGAAATTCTCCAAATACTTGTTTTTCTATGAAAACATGACGTTTCTCGTTTCCCCATGTTCCCACGATTCCGTGCAACATAGCATGACAAATTGACAATGAAGTATTACTTCCTGTGTGTTCGGCATGACAATTGACAATGAAGTATTACTTCCTCTGTGTTACTTTTTTTGTGGTTCAAACATTTCATACTTCACAAATTCAATATCAACCATATTATTTCACTTTCTTTAATAAGCGTGCGACTATAAGTAGTACCTCATAGCTTACTTCTTATTTTTTGTAGTATACCATACGACTTTTTGTCTAAGGATGACTCCTGATATTATGAATAGACTATAATCCTAAAGTAGCTTGCCCAAGAAACACTTGTTTTTTTTGTGTGTGCAGATGTTTTGCATTGCTGATCCAACATATGACAAATCCCTCCAACAGCTCCAAAGCTTCTTATCTGGTCTTGTGGCAGAAGAGAAGTTAGAACTTCGGGATGGAATGTACCTTCTCAAAAAGTGAAGGGTGATTCCTCCAAGTAAATCACAACCAAAAGGATCATAACATTGCTTTATAAAGGTGATACCCTAAACTACCGAATGCGGATCCTCTGTATGGCCTTAAAGTTGGCTATTTTGCTGTACAAAGATTGTTTCATCAATCAAAGTTTTATTGGTCACGTAATGTGATGCTCGTTGGGCATGACCATGACTCTAGCTTTAAAGCCATGAAGAGGATCAACATTCCTTGCTGTAACTCTACAAGGGCCTCACTTTTTTGAAGGCAACTTGCATTCTTTTCTCTTAAAAATGCTCAATATTTAATATACATTGTTTAGGCTGAGCACATTCTTGTTTTGACCAGAAAATGGATTGAAGATTCATATTCGGAATGTTCTTGCCTCAACATTTGGATGGAATTTAGAAAAAAACATATTTTTTTATTTAACACATATTAGTGATAAACATAGCTAAACACTAGCTCATACTACTCATAAAAAAACAGAGGTGTTATTTTTACATATTTATACCAGCAAAAAGTTATGATTTGACAAAGATCAATAGCAAAAATTTTAAAAAATAAGAGTGAAATTTAGAGTTAAAAAAACTAACAGTAATAAAATACATATACCAATATAATGAAACGTCTTACTGCGAAGTTCAAACAGCAAAATACTTGTATATTCATTTGTCAAAATAATGATAAAGAATCCGCTAGTCATTAAGTGACAGTCTGACGCAATGTACTATTGTATTGTGACTTAATGATTAACCATAAAAAAACTCCAAACCTTTAATCAGCCAATAATTTATCCTTTTGTTCTCCAAAAATGTTGTTGGTACACATATTGTCTACTTTACTCCTAGTCGTCTGTCCAAACACACAATTCATTAAAAAGAATTAAAGATGCCTTCTAGACAGACAACTAGACATGATCTACACAATATGCGTACAAAGTATGTGTACATCAAGCATTATTGTTTGTTTTTTATAACTTAAAAGAATGTTTAGTGTACATATATTTTTACACATATGGTGTACACCCTCTTAGTTGTCTGTCTATAAGGCAACACTTAAATGAATTGTCTGTGTATATAGACAATTAGGGGTGTATACCATATGTGTACAAAAAGTTCGTACCAACAACATTTTGTATCTTACAATATGCGCGTCTATGTATACATTGGTATATGGTGGTGTACAACTGTACATCCTATAAAACCATACAAAACATACCATTTCCTTCACCCCTCTCCAATTCTTCTCTTTCATACGAAAATCTCCTTTACATTTTCTTTCTTCTTCATATCTTCCATCTTTCATCTCCATCGTCTCTCATCTTCATCATTCTACAAATGAATCACCTCCCATATTCATCTTCCTTAATCATCTTCTATCTTCGTCATATCAATTTGTGTTATATTTTATCTTATCTATTTCAACTCCAATGTAGTTGGAGTCGCTAGAAATATAATAGGAGTTGGAGTAAACGGAAATGTTGCTGGAGTTATTATTCGTGCTTTTGTAAGATATTGTCTGTATCATCCTGATTTTTGACAAAATTTGTTTGTGTGAACAAATTAAATTGAATGCATGAGCACAAACAAAAAGTATGTGTACAAACACTTTTTGTCTATAGAATTTATGTCCGTATATAGACATTAATTAGGGTGTAACACATATTGATTTGCGTACTTTTTGCAAAAAAAAGTCAAGGTTAGGTTGCTCGGGAATCAATATTTGTGTATACAAATATTAGTTGTTTGTACACACAAAAAATGTATGTACTCATACATTTTTGTCTGTTTACACAGACATTGGTTTCTGTACAACCTAAACTTGACTTCTATGCAACATTTTTGTTTGTGTACATAAAGATTGAAAGCAAACTAGTATCTGTATCTAAACATTATTCGTTTGTGATGAATTTTTCAAAATGTTACTTGTTTTTCAATTTCTTTTCTGCCTAAAGACAAATTATATCACTATTCAACATGACATAGAAAATATTTTATAAACCCCTCGCAACTAAAATTCAGCACCCATTTATCTTAAATTTATGGTAACTATCCGGTGACTCAAACATAATTGTTTTAATTTTTAGCGCACAGATAAAAAATAAAGGTTAATAGTGAAGCACAAATTCTTTATCATAAAAGAAAAAAGGAGTTTATCTTAGAATAGATGAAGAAAGAATGAATGAAATTCATTTGAGACGGAGAGAATATTTGATAGGTATGTATTTCCTCTGTCTCAATAAACTTTACTAATTCTCTTTATTTAGCCCATTTGAGAAACTTTATCATTTCTATTTTAAGTCAGTAAGTCACGTCTTTTGGAGCCCACATGACCACAGTGACCTAACCTACCTGGAGTGATGTCACCGTCTTTTGGAGCAATGTCACTGTTCATGTTGCACTCGTCATTCGATTTTACTCTTATGACGGCGCAGATCTCAGGAACCTTGTAATGGTATGACAATTATATTTATAAATATTGACATCTAAGTTACTAGCGAGGCAAGGGGCTAGGGCAGTAGCGGTGCAGTGGCTGAGGATGTGTTTGTAGGGGAATGGGGTGGACTATGTCCAAACTGATGGGATGGGGTAGTGACTGGGGTTGTGGACCATGATGGGAAGTAGTGGGGCCCCACTGGGCGGAGCGGCATGTCGGGCAAGGAAGCAAGTCACTGGGTGAGGGCCTCAGGCAAGGGAAGTGGCGGAAGGGGTGACTGAAAGGAGGTCACCGGGAGAGACACAAGGTCACTCGTGGCGGGTCACCATGCCAGTATAGTGATGGACCCGGGTCGGGTACGGGTCGGGCCTAGGCTCGGCCGGGTCTGGATGGCAATGGTTCTAAGCCCGGGACCGGCCCAGTTGTCTACCGGTTCTGGGTCGGGTCTGGTTCTATTTTTTTTGTTTTCTTGATTATTTCATCCCCTACCCCCCATCCCCCAAACTCATCGGAAACACCCAGCCCAGCCCAGCCCATTTAAACCCAGCCCAAACAAAAAAAGGCTCGAACAGGCCGGGCTGGTTCGCATTTTACCTAGTCATGGACCCGGTTCGGGCCGCCCGGCCCGGGACTGGCCCGGCCCGCTACTGTGCGGGCCCGGAACCGGCCTGGTTCTCGGGTCCGGGTCTGGGTCGGGCCTAGGCCCGGTGGGGGGGGGCGGGTCCGGGCTCGGGCCTTGTATTTGGCGAACCGGCCCGGCCGGGTCGGGCCCGGGTCCGGGCCTAATTGATTTTTTTTTTTTCACTTTTTGGGGTTCCACCTAGGTTGGGCTTGATGGTTAGGAGGGGTTTTGGGGGGGTAGGGGGTGGGGGGGTTAGGAAAGCAAAAAAAAAAAAAATAACCAAACCGGAGGCCCGGCCCCGCCCAGATCCGGTGGCTACCCGGACCGGTCCCAGGCCTTCCTTCCAAAAAAAAAGCCCGACCGAGCCTGGACTGGAACCAGCCCGGCCCGGGTCCATGACTAATTTTACCTGTCCCGGGACCGCCCCCGGTTACAATCTAAAACCGGGCCTAGACCCGAAACCGATACTTGGTTCCCAGGCCGGGCCGGGCCCCTACAGTACCGGGCCGGTCCGGTTCCCAGGTCGGGTGGCCCGAATCGAGTCCACCACTATGCCGGTAGCTCACAAGAAAGTATGTCACTAGAAGGTGAAGTAATTGACACTTTTGCCGCCGAGGTGAGTTTCATTGGGCCGATGGTAGTCATTGTGGCAGAGGTCACTGCAGCAGAAGTCATTGTGGCAGGTGATAGAGTATATGGGCCTGGACCCCATGGCCCACATACTCAACGGCCCAAAAGACACCAGCGGGACACCCGCATCGCCCAGAGGCACGTAGCGTCCAAGAGAGAAGATGTCGCCTGATTTCTATGAACCGCATCGTCCGTGGCCCGCGTCGTCCATGGACCGCGTCGTCCATGGACCGCATCGTCCATGGACCGCATCGTCCGGACTTCGTCCGGGCGAATGTATTTTCCTATTTTTGTACTAAGTGTTGTACTCAGCCCATTAGTGGCCTTATTCGCCCAAAGAAGGCATGGTTATGGTAATGGGCCTCCTAAGCCCAAGGCTAGGGGCCCAAATCTGCATTTTTACCTATAAATAGACCCCAAGGGGCTAATTATGGGGATTCTTTTCCAATTTGAGAAATATAATTACTCACTTTCTCTCTCTAGCTCTCACTTCTCTCTAGAATTAATACTCCATCATTTGGTGCTTTCATTGAGAGCCTAGAACAGATCAAGTGAGTACCCCTCGTCGCTACTAGACGCAACAGAATGACAAGAACTAGGTCAAAGAACACCGGAAGGAATGCCCCTCTGAACCAGGAAGGGCAGGGAAACGTTGCTGACAACGTCCCCAATGATCTCATCATTCAGGATGAGAACGCTCAGGAGGTCGAGCTCGCAGCGGCCGACCTTCGCACCCAGCTCAACAAGACTGCCCCAGACGCCCGCATCGGGCTCGAGGACAAGCGCAATGCTGATCGCACTTCGGGCCAGCAGGCCTCTCACCCTGCTGCTCCCCAGATCAACCCGGCCGCATTATCGGCCATTGTTGCGAGCATCCTCCAGGACCCCAACGTCGTCAGCGCTCTTGTCGCAAAGACCGGGGAAAACAACACTCCCGTGACTGGAGAAGTCGCGACGGTGCCACCACCGCCGCCTCGGCCACAAGGCGTCACCTTCTTCGGCAACGACGAAGGCATCCTCGCCGCGGACACCCATTCCCATACTGCCTCTCCTACCCGGGATACACCGGCCCAACCTCGCGGTAAAATCTCGGTCTTCAATAGGTTGGGTGACATCGCGAGCCGTCGGGTACCTACGGGAAGGGTTGCGGATCGGTTGGGTGGTCGCGAGCCGGGATCACCAAAGGAAAGCTTCGGGTCAGTTTCCCGGACAACGGATCGGCCCCGACCAGACAAAGGCAAAGGAAAGCTGAATGATGATGACGCGCGTCACCAGATCAACCTGGCCCACGCGGCCCGGATCCAGACCCCTCTGGGTGGCGCTGCGGCCAACACGGACCCAAGGGACGAGATCATCGCCCGCCTGGAGAAGCGCCTCGCTGATATGGAGGCCCGAGAGGCCGCAGGGCGCGCAGTGGCTCACACATCCCAGCATCCCAACTACGATGCACTCCTACACAAGGTTAGTGCCTTGGAGAGGGAGTTGGCCGACCGACGCGACGAGCCCGTCATCCAAATACGGACCCGAACCCCCTTCTCTGCGAGGGTGCTCTCCGCTCCCATCCCAGAGAAGTACAAAGGGAATCCAATCAAGCCATATGACGGCCGCACTGATCCCCAGGAGCATTTCACCCGCTATCAGAACAACATGATGATGACCAACGCTTCGGAGGAATACATGTGCCGCTGGTTCCTATCCACCTTGGAAGGGCCAGCGTATGATTGGTTCAATAACCTTCCAGAAGGGAGCATCGACTCATGGCAGGACCTTGCTCAGCGCTTCCTCACCCACTTTGCCGGGAGGAAGCGTGCGAAGAAGCATTTCGCCCACCTCCTGACCATCAAACAACAATCGGAGGAGACACTCCGAGCCTTCCTCGATCGCTGGACAAGGGAGGCGGACGAATGTGAAGGGGCCGACGAGCGCACTCTCTTGGCTTTCCTCCGCGGAGCACTCCGGCCTAGCCACTTCGCCCGGAGCCTGTTCACGGAGCCGCCGCGGTCATACCTCGCGGCGCTCCGACGCGGAGATAGGCACGCTGATGCCGACGAGCTCCTGAACCAGAAGAAGGGTGGGGAGAAGCAACAAAAGAAGGACTCCTCGTCCAACCCCCACCACCCGCCGGCCAACAAGGGACAGCACCAGCCAAAGAAGGCACACCAGGAGCAAGGAGGACAGCGGAGAGAGGACCGCTCATGGCGCCCAAAATTGGAGGCACAGCGCATCCCCCTCACCCACCCGGTGAGCGTCGTCCTCGACCACGCCGAGGCGCAGGGCCTCATCGTGAAGGACCCCAGGTCAGAGGAGGAGATATTTGCGGTCCACAAAGGAGGGACATACTGCAAGTACCACCGCCAGACATCCCACAAGACCGAGGATTGCACCACCTTGAAGAGGCACATCGACGGCCTCATCCGACAGGGGGAACTTTCCCAATTCGTCAAGGGTGCCCCCAAGAGTAACACTTGGGTTAACCCTGGCAAAAGGGGGGAAGGATCCTCCGGGAAAAAGAGGGAGATCGGCGCCCTCAGTGAAGATGAGGACGAAGAGGAGCCCCGCGCGAAGAAGCATCACATTCACATCATCGTCGGCGGGAACACAGGGGGGGACTCGGCTACCCAACGGAAGAAATGGGCTCAGTCCCTATACGTTGGTGAGGTGACCCACGCCCCCCCTCAGCCGAAGCGGCGGCATGTGGAAGCCATCACCTTCACCGACAAGGACCTCCCCTTCGGCCCCTTGCCCCACAGGGACGCTCTCGTCGTCAAATGCGAGATTGGCAACAACATCATCCACCGCAACTACATCGACACTGGCAGCTCTGTCAATGTGATGTACGTTGACACCTTCAGACAACTGAAATTGAAGAAGTCCGAGCTCCGGCCGATACGGACTCCGTTATCCGGCTTCACCGGGGACTCTATCGACGCCGAGGGCACGATAGTGCTTCCCGTTGTGGTCGGTGACGGTACCTGTCAGGCAAAGATTGACATGGAGTTCGTGGTTGTCAACCTGGACAGCGCCCACAACATGATATGGGGACGGCCGGCCTTGGAGGACCTTGAGGCCATCATCTCCATGAGACATCTATGCCTCAAGTTCCCCACCAAGGACGGCGTCGGCTACGCCAGAGGAAATCAGAAGATAGCCAGGGCTTGCTACCTGAAGCTCACAAGGAAGATCAATGAGGCCGAGGAGCGGATAGACACCATCACCACCGCCTCGGCCGAAGAAGACACACCAAAGGCCGAACCGGTCGGAGACGTGGAGGATGTTCCGTTGGACGTCTCCCGGCCGGAACGCACGCTGAAGATTGGGACACAGCTCCCCCAACAGATTCGAAGGGACATCCTCTCTGTCCTGAGAGCGTACGCCGTCGTCTTCGCATGGGGACCAGAGGACATGCCGGGCATCAGCCCAAAAGTAATCACACATCGGCTATCGGTGAACCCGGCCTCCTCCCCCATCAAACAGAAAAAACGCTACCTCTCAGCTGACAGGAGGGAATTCGTCAAAGCCGAAGTGGCCATGCTGCTCTCCATCAAACACATAAAAGAGGTGAAGTACCCCACGTGGTTGGCAAACGTCGTCCTCGCCCCAAAGCCGCCTACGTTCAGAATGTGTGTTGATTACACTGACCTGAACAAGGCGTGCCCAATGGACCCATTCCCTCTCCCCAACATTGATCAGTTGGTAGATGAGACGGCGGGGTGCGAGTTGATGTCGTTCCTCGACGCGTTCAGAGGGTACCACCAGATATCCATGCACGAAGATGACGCGGAGAAGACTGCTTTTATGACCCCGGAGGGAATTTTTTGCTACCTCGTCATGGCCTTTGGGCTCAAGAACTCCGGCGCCACCTACACAAGGATGGTAGCCCGGATTTTTAGAGCAGTCTTAGGTCGGACGATGGAAGCATACGTCGACGATATGATCGTCAAGAGCAAACAATCCACAACCCATGCCGACGACCTCCGGGGCATCTTCGAGATCATGAAGAGATACAACCTCCGGCTCAACCCAAAGAAGTGCACCTTCGGCGTCCAGGGAGGTAAATTCCTGGGGTACCTGGTCAGTCGAAGGGGCATCGAGGTGAACCCGGAGAAAATACAAGCCATTATCAACATGGAGCCACCCCGCAACATAAAGGAGGTACAACGACTGACGGGACGCCTCGCGGCCCTGAACCGTTTCCTCTCAAAATCCGCGGAGAAGTCGCTCCCCTTCTTCCAGATAATGAGGAAGGCCACCAGCTTCAAATGGACGACGGAGTGTCAGCAAGCCTTTGAGGAGCTGAAACAATATCTCGCCTCCCCACCCGTCCTATCCAAGCCCCAGCCCGGCGAGACTCTCTTCCTCTACTTGGGAGTAAGCACGTCGGCCGTCAGCTCCGTACTCATCAGGGAGGATGACGGGGTGCAAAAAGCAATTTTCTACGTCAGCAAGACGTTGCGGGAGGCCGAGCTCAGGTACTCCCCTATTGAGAAGACGGTGCTTGCCATCGTCCACACGGTGAAAAAGCTGGGGCACTATTTCCAGGCTCACCCCGTCCATGTCCTCACGCATCAGCCGTTGGGCGCCCTCATGAGGAGCCCAACCAGCTCCCCAAGGATGATCAAGTGGGCAATATTCTTGAGCCAGTACCAGATTGAGATAAAGCCGAGGCCATCCATCAAAGGGCAAGCCTTGGCTGACTTTGTCACCGAGTGCACGGCAAGGGAGACGGCCGTTACCACTACAGGAGCCGAACCAGACGAAGCCTGGACCCTGTACACGGACGGGTCCTCGGCCACCAAAGCTTGTGGGGGTGGCGTCGTCCTCATCTCCCCAGAAGGATTCAGAGCATACTACGCCATTCGCTTCAACTTCAAAGTATCCAACAATGAGGCTGAATATGAGGCGCTCCTCAGCGGACTCAGACTAGCCGCTGGCCTCAAAGCACGCCACGTCAGAATCAAATGCGACTCCAAACTCGTAGTGAGCCAGATGGAGGGTTCCTACGAGGCCAAAGAAGGGAGGATGAAGCAATACAAGGAGGCCGCTGCGGAATTGCTCAAGGCGTTCGATACCTACGAGATCACTCAGATCCCAAGGGCAGAGAACGCCGAGGCTGACATACTCTCCAAACTCAGCTCCGACACCCCTGAGCACATCTCCAAGATAGCTAAGGTGGAGGAGTTGAGCATGTCAAGCATTCACGCCAGCCCTATACTCTCCATCCAACACCAGCCGGAGGATTGGATCACTGACATCGCAACCTACATCACCTCCGGCACGCTACCAGAAGACGAGGAGAGGGCCAAACTAGCCAAGCTCAGGGCCCCAAGCTATGTCATTGAGGGTGACAAGCTCTACAAGAGATCATACAACGGCACCCTCCTCCGGTGCTTACACCAGAATGAGGCCGAAGTGGCCATGGAAGAAGTCCACTGCGGCGTATGCTCATCACATCAGGGGCCCTTCAGCATGTCGCGCCGCCTCGTCGTCCAAGGCTACTTCTGGCCGACGATGGCGCGTGATTGTGCTGAGGTCGCCCGCAAATGCAGCGCATGTCAACACTATCAAAGGGCACCTGGCCGACCAGCCGTCAACTACGCCCCGGTCAGCACTGCCATCCCATTCTCCAGATGGGGCATCGACCTCGTCGGCCCTCTACCAAGAGCTGCGGGCAACAACAGATACATCATCGTCGCCATCGACTACTTCACCAAATGGGTCGAGGCCGAACCACTCGCAAGCATCACCGGAGCGCGGTGTCGAAAGTTCGTCTACAAGAACATCCTCACCCGCTTCGGCGTGCCTCAGGAAATCATATCAGACAACGGCACCCAGTTTGAGGCCGAACCGTTCCAAAGCCTCCTCCAAGAATGGGGTATCAAGCACCGCTTCTCCTCCGTTGCCTACCCTCAGGCCAACGGGCAGGTTGAGAACGCCAACAGAACCATCTTGGAGGGACTAAAGAAGAAGCTCGAAGAAGAAGGCGGAAGTTGGGTCGACGAGCTCCCCAACGTCCTATGGTCCTACCGCACTACGCCGAGGAGGGCCACCGGGGAGACACCATTCTCCTTGTGCTACGGCTTCGAAGCCAAGGCTCCCACTGAGGTGACGCTTCCCAGCCGACGGGTCACACAATACGACCCCGAAGCCAATGAAGAAGCCATGAAGATTGACTTGCACCTCATTGATGAAAGGCGGGAGATGGCTTACCTCAGAGCGGAGAACTACAGACGACAAGTCAAATCCTACTACGACGCCAAGGTCCGCTCTCGCGAATTCCAGGTGGGGGACTACGTCCTCCGCCGAAGGGAAGCAAGCAAGCCGACGGAAGGAGGAAAGCTCGCCGTCAAATATGAAGGGCCCTACATCATCAGCGCCGTCATCAAAGCCGGCACTTATAGACTAAAGAACCCTAATGGGTCAGATGTACCACGATTGTGGAATGTACACCACCTGGTGAAATTTTACCAATGACCCGAGAAGCGGTGAAGCGGGCAACGTCCCCCACCCCTCGGCTTATTGGTTGAATAAAACACCCTCGGCCTAGCGCCACTTATTGAATAAAATTCATGTTCCATCCAATCTCTTAAGATTTGAGCAAAAAGGAAACCCAAGGACCGCATCGGCCTAAGCGGTGCAATCACCTGGGACCGATGCGACCTAAAGCCGTCGCAATAAACGACGCACCTAAAGCCGTCGCAATAAGCGACGCACCTAAAGCCGTCGCAATAAACGACGCACCTAAAGCCGTCGCAATAAGCGACGCACCTAAAGCCGTCGCAATAAGCGACGCACCTAAAGCCGTCGCAATAAACGACGCACCTAAAGCCGTTGCAATACACAACGCACCTAAGGCCGTTGCGATCCACAACGCGCCTACAAAGCCGTTGCATAGACAACGCACCTAAATATCGTATCGGCACAAGCGGTGAAACACCCAAATCGGCCGACGATATGCAGGACGAAGGACCTGTGTGCATGGTCCAACGTCTTCAAAATGGAGAAGTATACCGCGTCGTCCGCGCGGAAACCGCAGGACGACAAGTCTGAATTAAGGCTGAGGTTACAAAAACTCCACCCGTCAGTAAAATTTCGCTCAGGACCACAAAGGGCGGCCGTCATGAGACGATGCCTAGTCCGGTCCCTCGTCGACGATAGACGTGGAAAGGCAAAAAAGATGCCACTGACACCAAGCCGAGGGCGTATTTACTCCCTCGCATTAATTCACGCGAAAAGCGTAGCGGACAAACTACCGTACATGGACGAAGGGACAGTAACCCTTCGGCCACCCAAAAAAAAAAAAAAAAAAAAAAAAAAAAAAGAGGGAAGCCGACGGACCGCGCACTCGCCGGCCTCGAGCATAAAATAAAATCCCCACAAAAACCAAAGCCTCAAAATCGGCTAAGTACATATCAGGTTTTCACCTAACAGGAATCCGAGGCGCACGCTTCGGCCTCAACCACAGCTTCATAAGAAGGAATCGCTCCGGTTTCGGTTATACGAAACTACATTCGAGTGTTTGGGCGACGGGGGCGCATCGTCTCCGAGTAACAAATCCCAAATGGCGAACCGAGGCAAAACACCTCCATCAAGTCAAATTTGACACAGAAATTTTCAGACACTCAAAGGAAGCCGAGGCGCTACCTGCCCATATCTAGGTATCGCTTCGTCCTCAACAAACCAAAACGACAACAGCAAACCACCTCATCATCTCCGACGAGGGACGCATATCCCTTGAGACATCGAGGGAACGCTTCGTCTCAGTCAACCGAAGTATGTTCGCAAACACTTAGCCAAATTTGAAAAAGATGAAACTTGTAAAGCAATAAGTACATAGACGATGCGACACCAACAGTCCACAAGTCAAAACGCTTGGTTTAAGTACATAGTCTTAAACCAGCTGGGGTACGCTTACACCTAGTACTTGGCAAAAATTGTGAAAATCAAAAGATGCATGGGAATTTAAAGCAACAAAGACGAAGCGACCAAATATTCTACACTTGGACAAAAAGAGCTTTGATTGATGATTCAAACATACAAGGAGGGCGCTTCGGCCATTACAATCATCAAGGCGCTTCGGCCATTAAGAATAGTACTACGAACAAAAGAAAAAAGGGAGGGAAGCTAAGTACAAATACTAAACAGCTTGTCCTTGGCCACCCTCGACGGCTCCGCTGTCCGCATCGTCTTGCTCATCCTCAGTATTTTTTGACTTGGTCGAGGTCCGGAAGAGGTAATCATCACTCTCGGTCCAGGGCTCGTCCTCTTCATCCGAGCTCAGGATGGGGGGCTGCCTTTCGGACAGAGGAAGTTTCAACTCCTCCTCGGGGTCCTTCATCATCCGGGGAAGGCCGATACCCCTGGGCTTCAGGTTCTTTACACGCCGGCGGAGGCGGCGGTAAACCAACATCTGCATACGCCTCTGGCCGAGGTCATACCAGACTTCAAACTCCTCCTTCAGGCGGGCTCGGCCAGCCTCCTCCTGAGACCACGCTTCAAAGCGCTCCGCCACGACATTGAAAGTCCAATCGCTTCGGGCCTCGTCCTTCCACCCCTCGGCCATAAAAAGCTCAATGGCTTTATCGGCAGCTGCAATCGCATCGGCCTCAAGCTTCACAGTTCTTTCCTCTGCTAGCCGACGGGCAGCCGCTTCTTCATCTAACTGAACCTTGAGGCGCTTCGCCTCGTCCTCAGCAACAACGGCCCTCTTCTCAGCCGCATCAGCTTTTTCCTTCAAGGAGGCAGTCTCAGTCCGGAGCCGCTCCAGTTGGGAAAGCGCCTCGTCAGCAGAGGCGGCTTTCATCTCAGCTCCGCGAAGGCGAGCAAGCTCCTCGTCCTGCCGCCGCTGCTGCTCCATGAGCATGAAGGCACCCTGCACAAACATGCAGCATTAGAAAAAGAAGGAATACGAAAATTACAAAGTACCAGGTCAAAAATTTACCTGGACGATGTAGTCCAATCCACCATCAAAGAGCCGCACATCCTTGCTCTGCCGACGTAGGTACTCCCTATCGGCATCGGGAATGGCCTGGAACAGGACGTCGTGCCCGGAAACCTTCTCGTTGAATAAACCGCCCTTCGGCGGATACCGCACCGTCACCTCATAAAGACCGGAGGTCAGGTCTCGGTCAGCACGGGCACTCTTCTTTGCAGCAGCCCCAGACTTAGTAGGAACCAGGGCAGACGAGGCGACGTTCAACGTCAGATCCTCAATGACGTACACATCAGAGGCAGCTCCCCCAGGGACCGATGCCTGCGCGTCGGCCAAAGCAGCGTCATTGGGAGGAGGGTTCGGCTTCGTCTTCTTGGCGCCTTCGGCCGGCACCAGACCCGTCTCAGTAAGGGTACGCTGGCCCTCAGCAGCCTTCTTCCTCTTCACCACTGGCTTTTTTGCCGCATCGGCAAGACTCTTAGAGCCGTCGCCAGAACACTTGGACGCCTCGGCTCGCTGGGCAGCCTCCAACTCCTTAGCAACCTGCTTCTTGGCCTGAGCCATGAACATTTTGCGACTCATCTCGTAACCTGCAAGGACGACACCAAAGGAGAAAGAGTTAGAAGCAAAGAAAAATACTAAGTACACAAGGATTAAGAGAAAAGCTATCAACCTTCGGCTTCGGCCGGAATCCCTATAAGTGGCCCGTCGGCCAGTTCAAAAGAGCCAGAGATCTTCGGCCACAAACCGCAATCAGGGTCGCCAGGAATGTAGTACCGCATCATCCCGAGAGCTGCAATCTTAAACTCAGTGATATACGTGTTCACACTCCTCGGCCCACCTTTCAGGAATGCCTCAACTTGGGCATCAAGCTCAGCGCTTCGCGGCGGATTGTGCAGGTTAAACTCACCACTATGCCCTTGCGAAGGAAAGAAAACCCCGTCGGCCAACTTCACGAACACAAACTTTGCCTTCCACCCATGGATAGACGAAGGAAGGTCTTTAAAGGATTTCTTCTCCGGGAGTTGCTGAAGCGTAGCGTAACCAGCACAGTTCTTATGGCTCCCTCGGCCGATCCGGAACAAATTGGAAAAAAGAGCCGTCGTGGGCTCAAAGCCGAGCTCGTCGCACCGGATGAGGAACCCGACGATCAGAGAGAAACTATTCGGCGTCAAGAGCGCCGGAGGGAGATCTACCATATTCAGGTACTCAATCACAAAAGGGGGTAACGGAAACCGTAGTCCCTGCGAGAACCCCATCGGATAAACCCCGAAGTACCCAGGAGGAGGATCCGGAACATGATCAGTCGGTCTCGGCTCCCTCACCTTCCCATAAGGCCCAACATACAGCTGAGCCAGATGGTACTCGCCTCGGGTGCTTTCAGGCCTTATGATATACAGGTTTGTCAAGTCTAACTGAGAACGCCCACCAGCCGCAGCTTTCCTCCGACGCGACCCGCGTTTCTTGGTGACCTTTGAAGACGACGCCCCACCTGGCACAGATGAAATAGGCGGCGGACATGGGATAGCAGCGGAGGAGGCATCACCCGCCCCGTCCCCGCGAAACTTGGGTTCAGAACTCGCCTCGTCCTCGCCCGATTGTTGGGAACCCGCATCATCATTCAGACGCTCCTCGTCCTGAGAAGTGCGGTAATCGGCAGTATTCTCCATCTCTGTTTCAAACGCTCGAACTATCTCAAGATTCACTCCAGGAGACGGGTCCTCGTCGTCAAAAGGCCAGTCCGACTCGTCTAAAGAAGCTGTTAAGTTAAGAGGGGAGGGGACGCTACGGCCGTCAGGGAACGGCATAACAACTATGCTACGTCCTAAGGGTTGTTCGAGGATCAAAGTGATTTTTCCTAGAAACACTAGATCTAACCCCCTAGGAAGCAAAGTATAAAGAAAAAAGGGAGAACAATTCAAGAACCTAACCTTGGAGTGGGTGAAGATCCGAAGAACACTTGAAGATTTCTGGGAAGCACTTTATCTCTCTAGAAATCTCAGCAGCACTTCAACTCTAGCAAACGCAAATAGGGTAGCGGCTACGGAATAGGGAGGTATTTATAGAAAACTTCCAACGGTCACTACACGTGGCGCCACCCCATTGGCTCCACCAACGGCCACCTCTCTCCCTACCAATCAAGGGACACCAATTCAGAATCACTCAAACAAGCGCCCCTACGGCCCAACTCAACCTTACAAAGAACAAGGCATCGGCTGAATACCGCTACGGCCCAACTACTACAAGCTTCAAAGCAAGCGTCGGCCCATAAGGCCGGAAAAGGAACGCATCGGCCTAACTCTACGTCCTCACAAAGACCCAGAAAACCTTAAATAGACAGCTACGGCTGCCTGAGCGCGCATCGTCGATGATAACCCTGGCATTGCGGCCTTCGTCCAAGGGTTCTCCCACAGGGTTACCTTGGACAGGTTCGCCTAAGGGTTGGAGTCGCGACTAACGCATAGGCACCGGATCGGCTCACTACTCCCTTGTGCCTCAGATGCTCTTCGGCCAAAGGAGTGGGGGACTGGGGGACTGCATCGGCCACAAGAAAAGAAAACGCAACGGCCTTAATACAAAAGGGTCTGCTACGGCTTGCCAACAACAAAGAACTGGGGATCGCATCGGCTACAGAGCCCAGGAATTAGAACCCCAAGATAAAAAAATCTAGCGCAACGGCTACGTACATTGAGAGGACCGCGTCGTCTCACCATAACAAAAACTCACAAGTCAAGACGCTCCGGCCGCATGACAAAACAAAGGTGCGCATCGCATCGTCCACATAGACAGAATCGACCATCTCCATCTCATGAAAATAGGTCCTCGCTACGGCCAAAAGGATAGATGGGAGCTCTTCGACCCCAACAAAGTGACAATGAAAGCATGCCAACTTATCCACCAAGGATTCTTCGCACCATCTACAAAGAAGAAAAGCGCATCGCCTCGTCTTCAAAAGCACTTCCACAGAGTGTGCATCGGCCCGCATCAAGGCTATGAGTTTCCAAGCACGCTTCATCTACATCAAATAAGGAAACCGCTTCATCAAAAAATCAAAGCAGGAACTCTTCGGCCATCAAACGCCTTAGACTCCCGCAACGGCCAGCCAGAAAGAAACAAGTACTCCCTCTCGCTTCGGTATTCACCTCAGCTCAGAGAGTGGGGGACTCCTGATAGAGTATATGGGCCTGGACCCCATGGCCCACATACTCAACGGCCCAAAAGACACCAGCGGGACACCCGCATCGCCCAGAGGCACGTAGCGTCCAAGAGAGAAGATGTCGCCTGATTTCTATGAACCGCATCGTCCGTGGCCCGCGTCGTCCATGGACCGCGTCGTCCATGGACCGCATCGTCCATGGACCGCATCGTCCGGACTTCGTCCGGGCGAATGTATTTTCCTATTTTTGTACTAAGTGTTGTACTCAGCCCATTAGTGGCCTTATTCGCCCAAAGAAGGCATGGTTATGGTAATGGGCCTCCTAAGCCCAAGGCTAGGGGCCCAAATCTGCATTTTTACCTATAAATAGACCCCAAGGGGCTAATTATGGGGATTCTTTTCCAATTTGAGAAATATAATTACTCACTTTCTCTCTCTAGCTCTCACTTCTCTCTAGAATTAATACTCCATCAGCAGGTTAGGTCACTAGAGATTACGGATAATTTAGTAAGTTTAATATTTTTGTCAATATTTGGAAATTTGTAAAAAATGTCACTTTTTTTTTATTCATTATCACTTTTTAGTAATATTAATGTCAAAACCCCATTTTGTTAAAAATCTTAATACCTCCATCCCATAATACTTAACCATCTTCAAAACTTTTACCAACTATATATATTTATTGAAAATTATTCATTATATAAAAATGACATGAAAATGTCTGTTGTTAAATGTACTTTCATAAAAGTATAAAACCTATTACTCTCATAATATTATAGTAATCAAAATCATGATCCAAATTTTTAGATTTCTCTAAGTATTTTAGGACGAAGGTAGTATATTGTTTCAAAAGGTGCAAACATAAATGTAAAAATATTTTTAAAAAATGACATGTATATTACTAATAGAGCTTGTCCGGCCAAAAATATTACTAGTTATGTTTTTTGGACAAAAATAAGACTAATCACTGTGTACGAGTAACTAGATTAGAGTCACTATAATATATTTCAGAATGACAAGTCACATGTAGATTATGAATTACTGGAAACTAGTTATTAGATATGTCATTTTTAGAAAATTTTAAAAGAATTCATTTTTTTTCTTTTAATTTAAATTTAGTACGTAGTACTACGTAATATTTATGGACAAAATACCAAATATTTAACATGTCAAAATAGACAATTGATTCAAAATATTAAAATAAAGAATTAATAGATAAAAAATCAGAATATAGAATTATAAATATAAATATAAAACAACATTAAAAATAGGGAAAATCGCACTTTTAGTCCCTGAAATAGTCATCATATTGAAATGTCAGAGCCGTGTTCTCAAGTTTGTAAATGTCACCTCTCAATTGTCCAAAATGTTGTAAATGTGGTCATTTGAAGAGTGAAATGTATAATGTGAGCGATGATTACGTTTCACCTCTCAAAGGACCACGTTTACACCAATTTGGACAATTGTGGGGTGATATTTCCAATCTCAAAAATACGGGTCTGACATTTCAATATGGTGATTATTTCAGGCACTAAAGGAGTGATTTTCCCTTAAAAATATTTGAAACATGTAAATTATTCAAATAGTTAAAAAACACAAAACATAGATATTTTGACTAACTTTTTTGTTTAATCGATAAGAACATGATTTATTAGAATGTGAACAAAAAATTACAAAATAAATGTATCTGAAGTAGCATTTCTTTAAAGTTGGTTTTGAAATTCCTTGTTTAATGTGCTCTTAGTAGCTTTCCATTGCCTTGATTATGTATGATCAAAATCTTTATCAGTTCGTTAACATTTTATTGCTTTTCTAATGCCTATTTTGTATTATTATAAAAAATTACTTCACGGTAAGTTATAGTAAGCATTAAGAAAAATGCATTGGAAATTACATGTGTGTTCTACATATATAATTTGGTCATTTTGGAACATAATATGATTACATTTATTTTATAAACTTGATTGTTGAATAGTAACCGATAAGTAAATGTGACTAGTATAGCTCCATGTTTTATAACACAATCAAATAAAAGATATACTTTAAGAAAAGGGAAATTTCCTAGGGTAAGACTAAAACTCAATCACTTTCTTGATCTATGATCTAACTAGTTTTTAGACTTCCGTATGATCGAAAATCCAAAAAATAAATTAATTTCGTTTATATTTAAAGGTTGAATGACGAAAATACCCTTATTTAAAATATGTGAATTTTGCACTAATTTTGTCCAATTAAAATTACTGTACTTTATATTAACATTAATGCACTACATTAATGCAGGATTTTAATGCACATCCGGTAATTATCACTGCACTTCCGCCAAAATTAATTCTCTTCTCATTTACTTGAGAAATTTATTTTTAGTTTTTGTTTTTTTGTTTTTTAGATTACATAATTTTATTATTTTACATCTAATTTAGTATATTGCATTTTAATTTATATTGCTGCTCTGTGTTACTGTAATACTAGTCATAATCACTGCATAACAAAAAAATTTAATGCATTCATTCACTGCCTTGTACAAAATGTCTCTTACCAATGTATATTCACTGCACATACTGAACACGTATTGCACTATTTCACTGTCATTGTTCAATGTCCATATTTAATGCTCACAAATTCTAAATTCAGTAAAACCTAATCTCAAAAAAATGAGAAAGAACGAACCAATGAATGCCTCTGTACGCGGCTGAAAAACTTGAGAGATGGTAGAAATTGATAATAGACAATCTCAATTCTCATAATTAAGTTGACCCTTCCATCACTAGAGACATGTTCTCATCATCACTAAGTTGACCGTTCCATATAGAGCAAAGAAACTCCTTGTTCCAATCTGCAATGAGTTCTATTCAAACCAAAAAATATGCTGACACAATATGGATGAAAAGACAGCCTCCCTTTACATCATACAGAGTAATAAGTGATGGAATGAATTAAAAATCAAAATAGAATGGCTTTTTAAGATCTGGTTGACCAACGTGCTCCAAGGGTCGGTGCTTGCAGAGACGAACGACGAATGAGTTTCTATTGACGCAACAAACTTTCTATGGGCTAATTTGGACGGCAACGGACTACATGCCACAGTGTGGCGGCGGATTACATGCCACGGGGCGGCGGCGGCAAGGGTGTGCGGCTACTGGGTGTATCTATGGAGGTGGGAGAATGGAGGTTAGGGTTTTAGAAAAGAATAGAAGCTTAGAGTTTTATAGATATAACCTAAAGGGTACTGTTGGATAATTGATACCCATATCCTATAACTAAGGAGAGATTGAACAAGAGTGGAGAATAAATAAAGAAAGTGTATAGAATGAATTAATATTGGTTGTATGAGTTACAAGCCTCCTACAAGGAGTATATATAGGGAAAATCCGGGTCTGGGCCTCTAATATGGGCCTGACAGACCCGGTTACATAAATGGACTGATAGAATAAAAAGCTAATCTAGAACATCTGAATAATAATGTACAATAATATGAATATGCTAACCGAACCGGCCCGGTCACTGTTTGGCCCGGCCCGGCCCGTGGCCCGGTGGGTCCACCGGTTCGGTTTTGCCCGGCCCGGGTGCTGGGCGGTCCGGGCTCGGGCCCAGGTTTTGGTGAACCGGCCCGGCCGGTTCGGGCCCGGTACGGGCCGGATTTTAATTTTTTTTTTTTGAAAATTTTAAGTTTTAGGTTGGATTAGGTATTTTGGGCCATTTGAGGTGGTTTGGGATGGTTTGGGGTTGAGGGGGAGGGGTAGGGGATTAAATAGGAGAACAAAAAAAAAATTGGGCCAGTTCGGCCCGGCCCGGCCCGAGTCCAGCCCTATGTACAATAATATGAATATGCTAAACGTGTGTGGGCCCCTGTCCAGGCCCAATAGTCGGCAGCAGGCATGGACCCGGTTCGGGCCGCCCGGCCCGGGACCGGCCCGACCCGCCACTGTGCGGGCCCGGAACCGTCCGGTTCTCGGGTCCGGGTCCGGATCGGGCCTAGGCCCGGTGGGGGGGGGGGGGGCGGGTCCGGGCTCGGGCCTTGTATTTGGCGAACCGGCTCGGCCGGGTCGGGCCCGGGCTCGGGCCAAATTGATTTTTTTTTTTTATTTTTTTTTTTTTTCATTTTTTGGGGTTAGCCGGGTTGGGCTTGATGGTTAGGAGGGGTTTGGGGGTTTGGGTGGTGTGGGGGGTTAGGAAAGCAAAAAAAAAAAATTATGACCGAACCGGAGGCCCGGCCCGGCCCGGACCCGGTGGCTACCCGGGCCGGTCCCGGGCCTTCCTTCCCAAAAAAAAGCCCGGCCGGGCCCGGCCCGGAACCATGACTAGTCGGCAGACCGGGGGGTCGGAGTCCATATACTCCATCAGGAGTCCCTCACTCCCTGAGCCAAGAGTACTCGAGGTGAAAGGGAGTAGTCCAAATTGTAGCTGCAACGTTCTTCTGTCTTTGGTTTCTTCCTCTCTGGCCGGGGGACCATCACCCTCGTCCATGATGGGGAGGTGCCTCGTTAAAAACCTTTACTAGGAAAAAACCCAGTGGGAAAAAATCCTAATAAAGGGAAAAAGAGTACACCTAGCGCCCCCAACATGAAACAAGGAAGGTAGGCCCCCTCCGGCATAATCACTTTTGTCTAGCTCAACCCGTCTCCATCTGACTCAGCTCTCGTTCCTGCTCATGCGTGATAATTTCTGCTCATCTAGAAACTCTGACCCCTTAGTCCCCCAGTCCCCACTCTTTGAGGCGAGTGGAGACGAGGTGAAAATGAGTAAAGTCATATTTGTACCTACATATTTAACATACATATAAATTTTTTTCTTGGGATTTATGTTCCCGATCGGGAGTTCGTCACTTGAAACAAGTGGAGATGTGAATTGTTATTGTAATGATAAAATACTTAGTAGAATGGATGTGTGATCCATTCATAAGCAACAGTCGCCACTCGAGGAATGACTAAGACCGGTCTTCGTGCCTGAGAGTCAGGGCTTTGTGCCTGAGAGTCAGGGCTTTGTGCCTGAGAGTCAGGGCTTTGTGCCTGAGAGTCAGAGCTTTAAATCCTAGTGATGGGTCTCAAACCACACTCTACTAGGCATTTGATCATAAGTGCGTGATAGTGTGACATTCAACCGACAAAAAATATTGATTAAAATAAATATAAATAATATTAAAATTAAAGATACTTATCTTTTTGAAGTGGGCTGAAATAATGGACTGATTGGTCTGAAATATGTCGCTGAAATTGTATCCTGTCCAACAACTTGTTTGGTCCCAAGGTATTTTGGCCATCGTTTCTCACTTAGGCCCAATCTTCCCTGGTCCGCCACCGTCTTATTGATACTGCCATTGATTAGGGCATCACTTCCCAATAGTTGAGTGAGTCAGATGGAACCCACACACCGGTCCAGCTAGCCAACTTCTTTCGGCCACTGAAGCTATTGAGGCATTTTCTGTATCACCATCACGGTGGGGCTGCATAGAGATTGGATTTTTGATTTATTGGGGAAGCCCACCATTTATTTTGATCAACTTTGTCCTCCTAATAATAGACCACAACTTTGGTTTCTTTGGAGCAGATCTGTCCACGTGACTCCAGACTTATCTACTGCGGCAAGTAGATCCCTCCTGCAACCAAGCCCCAAGAGAGTAGCCTTCAGGCTATTGCTGCCTACTTCGTACAGGTGACAACTGACTGGAGCAAGCTCGCTAGGATGACGGCAGCACCTGCGAAAGTGAGTAAGATACATTCTTACAATCTTACTGCTCCTGGAGCTCCTGGCGGTTTCGATTGAGTAAAGCAGTGAGTAGGGCAGTTCCAATTTACTGCTCCTGGAGCTTCAGCGGCCATTAATGGTGGATATTCAAGGTTTAAGCTCCAGAAACTAAATTGACTGACTTAGGAGACGGACGGCCAGTTATAGCGAACTTCACCAGAAGGTGCAGACAGTTGGAGTGTTCCCGGTGGTTTGTCAGGAGGTAGCGGTGTCGGTGCTTCTATCAATTTCGTATTTCCGTTCGTGCTTTGGTTCATCGGCCTACGTCCTCACTTCCAGGAGCTTCAGTCCCACCATTAATGGCGGATAATACCAAGCCAGAGTTCCTAGGGTCGTGCTTCGCCGGAGCTAAGAGCTAGCGAGGTGGGTGGACGAGTAAGAGCTAACGAGGCATCGACACTGGGGCCGTGCTTCGCCGGAGCTCCTGGTCGTCGGACCAACGTCGGATCTGGTCCCAGCGTGGATGTTGATCTGGTCCTCTTTTTGACATTGAACTGCTCCAGTTGACCAGCCAGTTCAGGTCTGGCGAAAACTGCATCACATCTGGACCGTTCCAGAGATCCTTCTTGAGATTTTCAGCTTGTTTTTTGCTTGGTTTTTTCAAGTTTGGTATGGAATTTTTGATATTTTGGGGAGGTTTTCTCACTTGATTGTGTTCAACCTCTCAACGAGAGCACCATTGTTGCATAATTGATACTCATATCCTATAACTAAGGAGAGATTGAACAAGAGTGGAGAAGGAATAAAGAAAGTATATAGAATGAATTAATATCGGTTGTATGAGTTACAAGCCTCCTATAAGGAGTATATATAGGGAAAATCCGGGTCTGGGCCTCTAATATGGGCCTGACAGACCCGGTTACATAAATGGACTGATAGAATAAAAAGCTAATCTAGAACATCTGAATAATAATGTACAATAATATGAATATGCTAAACGTGTGTGGGCCGCTGTCCAGGCCCAATAGTCGGCAGACCGGGGGGTCGGAGTCCATATACTCCATCAGGTACATTTGTCCACATAAATTATTTATTATTTATTTAGTACGAATTTTAATTAAATATTATTAATTTTAATATTGTTTTGGTAAAAAAAAACTAGTTAGGTCATAGATTGAGAAAGTGAATACGTTTTAGTCACACCTAGGATAATAATCTCTTAAGAAAATGCATGATTGAAATACATGATATAGACTTCAATGATATTCAAAATATAATTAAATATTGCTATGGATACGCATATAATGCCTAGAAAATCAAGTTAATGCAATTATGTATGGTGATCAGCTTAAAAATATCCACCCGAGAGGGATAAAAGAAACAAAACTTCATAGATGGAAATATGAAATTCCAACAATGTAACATAAATTACTATAAGAGTATAGATTTGGCATATAATTTGAGGGTTGTACTTGTCTTAAATTAATAATATAAATATTACTAGTAATTATATAAATTGTGTTTGCATAATATCTGCCTGTAGAAGAGTTCTCCTACTATTATATTATACCACCTCCGTCCAAAAAAATACTTTCCGATTTGAATTGACACACTTATTAAGAAAGTGGAAATAAAGTGGAAATGTATGGTTGTGGTTGAGTAATAAAAATGTAAATGAATGTGAGCCACACAAAACTTTCCAAAAGAGGAAATGAGAAACATTTTTTGGAACGGCCCAAAAAGGAAGGTGAGGAGTATTTTCTAGGACAGAGGGAGCATATATTTGAATAAGTTAAGCACATGTTGCATGAAGTTAAACATTTTTGTAAATAAATGACCAAATTAAGGTCAGCCCAGGTTTAAATGAAATGTCATATAAAACATACAATGTATATATACTTCTTAGATAAGAGAATGACAAAGCCGTCTAGTCTCCCAATATTTTAAATGAGTTCATGAGAGTTAAGTGAACTTAAAGTTTCACAATGTGGGTTATTATTAAATTTGATATCAAGATATGCTTTACTGAAATGTCTGCATATAATGAGTGGTATAAGACCACTTTACCAGATTCTATGAAATATAGTGAAAAGTATAAAGTAACCCATAAAATATATCTAGCATTATAAGATGAATGTTTCGCCTGAGATAAACTGCTAGAAAGTTGTCTAACTATATGAAAAAAATCTAGTTTATATTAATTCGACATTTATTAATAAGTAACTCCCAAAAGTTTACACGTTAAAATGAGTCAAAGTGTGTCAATATTGAAACCCCACTTTAGAAACGATGTACATGGACCCCAGAAGTGGCTACATATGTAAGTAAATCCTTGTTCAAAAGTTTTATGACAGCACATATCCCGACATTAGGGGGAGTATATAAAAGCACGAGCAAAAAGCTATATTTTGGAATGTTAAGAAAATATCCTAAAAGGATTGAATGATATGAAAAGCGAAACATGTAAAATATGATAAGTAAACTACCAAAGTGACTGAAAGAAGTGATTATAAAGTTTGAGTTCAACCAATGTATGAAGTATTGTTAGACGGTCATTATGTGTATTAAAATAAGTGACTTAATGCCTCTCTACAAGAGGAAGATATAAGTAAGTACTATGTCAATCAAAATTATATTTTTATCTTGTATATCTATGTATTATTATTTGTTCGAAATTATTTTAAATATGTGCTTTTAAATAAAAGCATGATACTTGCGATGAGAGTGTTGTGAACCTGAATTTCCCACAACGCTCGCACAGAAGATAGTGTGTGCGCTTATAAGAATGATCTGAAGCCTTTATTTGTAGACGCGTTTTAAAAGTGTGAGGTCCTGAAATATCAACAATATCCCCAAGCTCTTTATAACAATATCTACAAAAAAAACAATATCCGCTTATTTGTTGAGCGTCATATTTAAGTGAGATTCGAAAATAAAATAAAAGGAAGATCTAATTAAAGGAAAATGTTAAAGTGGACGCAAATAAAAGAAATACTTCGGAGTAGCCGTTACAACTTACAACTTTGAAGAAACAGAACATGACATTAAATGAACATTACTTGCATTGTTCCAAAATCAAAACTCACGCAGACGAGATAGCCCAGAAATGGCAGAAGCAGAATTTCAATCAGAGATCTGGGAAGAAGATGAAGAAGACGAAGAAGCAGAAATAATGCGGCAACTGAGATCAAAAGCTACAAAGCTTCTACTCGGAGAAGAATGGAGCGAATGCATCCATGTATATTCTCAGTTCATTTCTCTCTGCAATTCCCATATCTCCAGACTCCATCTAAACCCTAGCTCCGACCGCCTTTCCAAGCTCAGTAAATCCCTCTGCGTAGCTCTCTGCAATCGGGCTGAGTCTCACTTCCGCCTCCGCCAATTCCAACCCGCCTTGCAAGATTGCGACGAGGCGTTGAAGATCGAGAACCCCAATTTCAAGGCACTGCTCTGTAAAGGTAAGATCTTTCTCTCCCTTGACAGGTATACGCTAGCCTTGGGTTGCTTCAGGGAAGCCAATCTGGGTGTTCACGATGCCGAGAACGGCGAAATCCTCAATGGATTCCTAGAGAAATGTAAGAAGCTAGAGAGTTTGTCGAAAACAGGCGGGTTTGATCTCTCGAATTGGGTCTTAAATATCGATAAGGTTCCTGATCTTGCAGAGTATTTAGGGCCAGTAGAGATCAAGAAATCCGAGATTAGTGGGCGTGGCTTGTTTGCAACTAAGGATGTCGAGTGTGGGACTTTGTTTCTGGTCACTAGGGCTGTTGCTATTGAGAGGGGAATAATGTCCCAAAACCTTGAAAAATCCCAACTAGTAAACTGGAATAATTTCACTGATAAAGTTCTTCAGTTAGCCTCAAAATGTAACCGAATCCGTGATCTGTTAAGTACTCTGTCTATTGGTGAGAATGAAGATTCTCTTGATGTCCCCGACCTTAATCTATTCAGACCGGGAGCTGGATATAGTAGATTTCCAGGCCAGAATCTTGACATGGAAAGAATTTTCAATGTATTAGATGTGAACTCATTAGTTGAACAAACAATTTCTGCCAAGGTTTTGGGTAAAAACTGTCACTACCATGGGATTGGCCTATGGCTATTAACATCTTTCATAAATCATTCTTGTGAACCAAACACGAGACGTTTCCACGTGGGTGAACATGTCTTAGTTCATGCTTCTAGAGACATAAAGACAGGAGAGGAGCTCACATTTGCCTACTTTGATGTACTTTCACCCTATAGTGCCCGAGAAGTGAAGTCCAAAGGCTGGGGGTTTGTTTGCAAATGCAAAAGGTGCACAGTAGAGAGTGTTTTGTATTCGAACCAAGAACTGCAAGTGATTGAAGTGTTATTGAAAAAAGGATTAGATATGGGAGAACTGGTTTATAGATTGGAGGATGGGATGAGGAGATGGATGGTTAGGGGAAGGGTGAGAGGGTATTTAAGGGCATCATTTTGGGGAGCTTATTCTGAAGTTCTTGTATCGGAGAAGTTGAGGAAGAAGTGGGGATGCAAGATTCCGCCAAACGAGACTTTGGTGGATAGCCTGGTGAGTGCTGTGGGGTGTGATGAGAGGATTGTGAAGGCAGCAGGGTTTGGAGGACAGAAGAGAAACATCAATGGCCATGGTGGGGGTTGCGAGATTTTGGATATGGATCGGAGGGCATTGAAGCTGTGGAGAGGGTTATATGGAAAGGTCATGAAGAAACAAGCATTGAAGTATCTTCTGAAGCTTGAACTGCTTGATGGCCGTTCGTAAACAAAAGTAAATCCTTTTAGATAATGTAACCATTGTTTCAGAATTTCAATAGGTTTGCTGGCAAATTCTTTTGCTTGATTAGTTTATCTTTTCTCTTACAATTCTTACATTTTGTTTTTGTATTTCTGCTGAAACACTTTAATCATGTGAATAAAAATGTTGCATTATATCAGTTCACTTTTACTTGATACTCTCATTTGAAGAGGATGTTTATTACTTCCTCTACTCTTTTCATCTATACTTTCCAACTTTTTATATATTTTGCCTTCTACTATACTTTTCACTTTTACAAGCCCAAATTCAGTTTCACATGAATTAAAAATACAGTTGTAACATTAGCCATAGACATTGTAGCAATGACACAAAAAACTTCGCCAACAATGAAGATAAACATATGAAAATAAAACTATAAGGCATTGTTTGATAGCTAAAAGTTGCTTATTCTGTTGTTGAACAAAAAGAAGATGAATAATCGGATTAAGGAGAACTTTTTATTTACTAATTTGGCTGAAATAGACGTTAACAAACACTTTTTCTTTCAAATAACACTTATCAAACGACTAAACAAGCCCTTCATAAGAGAGTAATCAATCACGACTGTTGCAGGAATGAATTGAAACCAGGCATTTAGTTCAGTAGACAAATCTAATGCAGGTTTGCAAATTTCCTCCTAATATGGGATTGAAGCAACCATCCCATATGCAGAAATTTTAAAGCACCAAAACATGAAACATATGTATGATATATACATATTGAACATTTTTTACTAAAAAAATTGTCTGCTGTATTTAATTATGTATCTCGTATTCAATAGTTCTCATAATGCTCTTGATGACTAATGAGATGGTGGCAGATATTTATGAAGCATAAGCAGGGAGGGAAGACCTCATTTCCTATAAAATTTACCCAGTGAATGTATATTTTGGACAAAATTGTATCTGATTACAATGTGAGATACATGTATATTGGATGATCTTCCAGTCTTCTCAACCTTTTCTGAAGGTAGTTTTTTCATGAGTTTGAAGTTGATACCATTTTCCAGATAATCATAGATCTAACATGCAGATATAAGATCGAAATGTGCACGGCCAAGAACGCCTGGCCGATCCATCAAAACATTTATACATAAACAAGTAGAGTCGTAGAGAAGACATCATGTCTTATAAAATTCACCCAATAAATATTTTGGAAAAATTTGTATAAATCACAATGTTATAGAAATATAGAATGAACTTACACTCATCCTAAATAAAATCTTTCCTGGAGGTAGTTTATTCATCATTTTGAAGCTGGTAAACATCATTCTCGACCATTTTCCAAATCATCATAGATCTAACATGCGAATATGAGATCGAAATGTAGCCAAGGACAACTTGCCGATCGATATGATCAAAACATTTATGTGGGCACTCTAATAATGCGTAAACTCCACACTTGTTTTTCTTATTCTATCGGCAAATCATCCTTGGCTGCATCTCACATTATTCTCATATCAACATGCAAGGTCTAGGATGATTATTATGATGATCCTCATAAGATGTTTTTCCTTTTTCATTTTGTAGTTTCTCTATTTCAAGTGTATGAAGAAAACCTTCCACGGCATTGCTATATATATAGCACGGCTCTCTACACGTCCTAACCTAGACCTAACTAGACGCTAGGGACTTGGTTTAATTAAGGTGGTGTCGGATGGAGGACCATACGATTTCAGAATTGAATTTTTCTTTTTAAGTTTTAAAGTATATGTAGAAAGCTAAGAACTCTTTCATGAATTAAATCGTGTATTATTTCTGTTTAGGTTTAATTTATTATTGATTGGGTAAAAGTACATATAGAAATCATTAAATCAGAAAGTTATTTAAATTTTGCTTTGATATCTATATGTAGAATAATTATATATAAAGGCAGGAGTAAGAATAAGTATAATTAAAAGCATGAGTACATGTAGAATATATATATATATTCTCATATTTTGTTTAGATTTCTTTTCATAGTATTTCATACCCATCAAACTGAGTTTGTCGCATACTATATTGAAAAATGGTAAAATAAGACCTACTATTTTCAATCCATCACTTAAACTCATTTACTAAAAAAAGTATATTATAATTAGACAATTTATAAGATACTTTACAAAATGAATCAATTAGACAATTTAAGGCCTGTAATAGTAGGTTTTTTATACTTAAAAACTTTAAAAAAATTAAAATTTGAAGAAATATATACAAAAATTGTGAAAATTTTCAGGAATATCTATTTAAAAGTTTTTTTTTCACTTTTATTCTTTCATTTTTATGATTTTTTAGTTTTTTTACTTTAAGTTTTTAAAATTTCAACTATTTTTACATTTATAATATTGTTATTAGATTATTTATTCAAATTTATACGAATTTTGTAGGATTTATCAATATTACTAATTTAATTTTTAAAAACATAACCTGCTTTAGCAGGTCAAAGGGCTTGGTTGATTGTATTTTAAAAGTAAACATACTTATATAATCTCCCTCCGTTCCCCAATTAAGTTCCTGGTTTGACTTCGCACATATTAAGAAAATAAATTTGATTTTACTGTGGAGTGCACTGTTTTACACTGTTTGACACTGTTTGACACCGTGTGGCACTGTTTTGATGTAGATTATTTTCCAAATAACAAAATTATTGAAGTGTGAACTTAATTTAGGAACTGTCCAAAAAGGAAATTAAATTGGGAACTTAATTGGGGGACAGAGGGAGTACCTTTTTTAGTATGCTTAACAGCTTAAGTGATGAATTAGAAATAATAGAATTACATGTTTGACCCTTTTTCCTACTATATTTAGCAGTGTTACTTTGGTTCTCATTAAAAAGTTGAGCTCCAAAATGGATGTAAAACACAACCCCTCATAGTGTTTCTCCTGATATACACATACTAAGTCACGAGTCACCCGAACATTAAAAAAACATTTATTATTAATGTAAAAAAAATTCTTGTAAATATTTATTCATTTTTATGCATATGCATGTATGTTTGTGTCTATATGTGTATATATTATTTAATTAATATGTATTATATTTTTATCTAAGCGCGTGTGGGCTAATGTAGTAAGTACCTCCCGCCACCCACTTCATATTAGTGGTGAATGAATTAGTGATCGAGTTTTAAAAAGTGATCGAGATAAAGTGAAAATGTATAATTGTGAAAATAGAAATATTTTGTTGGGACATCACAAAAAGTAAGTCAGAAGAATTTAATGAGATGGGGGAGTACCAATTTATTTTGAAAAATTGGAAACACTTATTTTTAGTAAAATACAATATGATATCAAGTACCGTTGTTTAACATTAATATACACATTGTTAAAAAATACTCCGTACTACGTACTAAATTAGTTTTTTTATAATAAAGAGATCTAAAATCATTCATAGATAAAATGTTTAAGTGATACTAAATAAAAGAAAAAGTTATTTGATTATAAACAATTTGATGAAAGTTTGTTAATTAATTTTTACGGTAATGTATTTAACCAATGAGCACCTACGTATGCTATTTTAAATATTTTTACCTTGTTTAGCCACATAAATCATGTAAGAATGAGTAACCAAATTACTAAGTTACATCTGTATTTCTATAACATGTGAATGGGTGTAGTCCGAGAAATGTGTATAATTATAGAATAGTGCATATGAGATTATTCAATTTGAATCTAATATTACGTTGTGCAGTGCATTTAATTACACAAATATGGTAAATGTACATACATACATACATACATACATACATTACATACATACATACATACATACATACATACATACATACATACATACATACATACATACATACATACATACATACATACATATACACACACATATATGTAATACTCCGTATGTGTATATGTCATCAGAGACGGATCCAGAATTTTGAGTTAAGGGGGCGAATTTTTTTCATTAGTGTAGGGGTTGAAATTTTTTCCGCTGGAGTAGCAGGGCGAATTTTTTCATTAGTGAAGGACTCCGCGGCTAATTTTTGTTCAACAAATTTCATGAGTAAATACACGATGACATTTAAATCTATTACATTCACATTTTAGACAATGAAAGAAAAACTTTGATTAAATAATTCTAAGTGCTCTAGAAAATTATTTGAAAATAAGAAAGGATATAACATTTTAGCAAATTATTTGAAAGTAAAGAGTTTAAAAGGTACACATAAAAGGATGTTTTTTAAATAACATCTGCTTTGTTTAACCACAAGATTCTTATTAGAATAAAAAATCAATTTTTGAATTGCAATTTTTGTCTACAGAGAGGGTATTCATGGATCACGAGAAGTTTTTTTTAATATTTTGGTATGAGATATATTATTAGTTTTAGAATAATATGATACGTAGTATGGTTAATTCATATATTCATGATGCATATTATATTTGTATTAATGCTATAAGGGAAAACTGTCAAATAGGTCCTCCAACTTTTATAAAAAAGTCAATTAAGTCCTTCTATAGGATGTTCTGTCCGGCCGTCGCGATTTGAGGCAGTTCCCGGTGGAATTTTTTGATGAAATTTGTTGAGCATCTTATTCACCAAGTCTAGTTTACTCATAGCAAATTTCAGCTAAAAAATCAATTGGGAACACATTCAAATTAGTTCTTAAAGATAACTATGCATTTTTGCGTTTTCAAATTAAATTGAATGCGCTCCTGATTAAATTTTTAGCTGAAATTGGGTATGAGTAAACTAGACTTGGTGAATAAGATGCTCAAAAAATTTCATAAAAAAATTCCACCGGGAACCACCCCAAATCGCGACGACCGGACAGAGTCTCCTATAGAAGGACTTAATTGACTTTTTTATGAAAGTTCGAGAACCTATTTGACCGTGTTCCCATGCTATAATAAGTTAAAGTTTATTATCTATGCAACAAATTATTTTTACAAAGTAAGAAGAAAATTGATTGTGTAATTTAGTAGTGCCAACAAACATTTATATTTTGGATTCACTTTAAATGATCTAAAAGCTATTTAACTATTGTGTCTGATATTTAATATTATTTATTTTACAAAATCGAGTACTAGTTATCTAATAAAGATAATTAAACATTACAAAATTAAGAATTTTTATATAATAGTTATACTAAGTTTTAAACAATGAATTTTTCTATTGTTTATTTGTTTAAATTATGTAAATTAATTATTTTAGATTTTACTTCTTTTAAATCTCCAATTAAGTATTACATTATGTGAGCTTATAAATTAATTTTGAAAACTAAAAGATAAGGGGGGCGAAAACATATGTATCTAATTAAAGTATGAAAATTTTATGAAAAATATTGTATATATAGTAGAAAATTTTGAAAATCCAAGGGAGCAGTCGCCCCCCGCGCCCCCCTTAAATCCATCCCTGTATGTCATGTGTGCCATTTTGTGGATTCCATAAACTTTGAAAGTTCAATAGGGACTCGTATATATATATAGAAACTAAATTAGTTATGCCTTTATTTTAAGTAAGTGTCACATATCTTTATAGGGACCAGATCCAATAAAAAGTGATCTTCTAATGAGAAATACACATTCTTCACTTTTGGTCATCTAAAGTGCACTATTGTACCTAGATAATTTTCGTCATCTATTTACTCATCCACGATACACTTTTACATATAAGAAGTCCACTTTTTGGAAAGAAGAAAACTTTGATGTATTTTGAAAAATATCACCGCGTTTTTAATCCACTTAAATGCATTTTTTACATCTTAAGAGCAATTAGATCTTAGATTGGATACATCAAATTTGTTCCAACTTTCGATGAGAATGAGACTTTTTATTTGAGGTTAGACCCTAAAATATCTCACACATTCCGGAAGCCGCAGTCCACCCCAAGCCCTAGCTACCACTCACTCCAGACGGTGCTGTCCGTCTGCCATCCCTAAATGATTGTATATAATTGTATAGCAGTATTTGTTGGGTGTTACGTAGTAGAAGGGCTGGTGGTGCAGATTTATGCAGAAATAATTACGCGTGTTTTTTGGTACCACAGAAAGAGCATAGATGGCAAAATGATTTGACAAGATGGATATACTAATACAACAAGCTACGAGACGACAATAGAATAGTAGTTGCAAATAATAGTGCCCACAATAGCATCACTTACTATTTTTGGAAAGAGGATCATTTCTGCCTCCACTTTATTGAATGGCCATAAGAGGATTCCAAGGTGATCAAATATTTATTTACTGAGTATAAATTAATATTATCCCTATGACGTACTCTCTCCGTAACTTAAAAATCTTCCCACTTTCCTTTTTCGTCCGTAACACAAAAATCTTCTCATTTCTAAATCTTCCCATCATACCCTCAATAATTCATAAAATAGTACACTATTACAACTACTTTTTTTGGATTTATCCTACATTCCACCACATTATTCCACTATTTTCCCATCATATCCTCAATAATTCATATCATCTTTCACTATTCTTAATCTACCTACTTTTGAAATGGGAAGATTTTAAAGATACGGAGGGAGTAGAATAATGCGCACTAGCATGGGTAAGATTCTTTTTTATTTCAACTTTTTTGGAGCATGGGTGGT